TTTTACTCATATATATCTAAGGCCTTCACCCACCCCTTAGATATATGTCAAACGACACACACCCTTAACACCACTATATTTATGATATGCATATGTAATGCAGCGCAAACATCATTTATTTCTGCTAAATAATAACACACATAATAACAATATTATTTCAGATTTAATCACATGAATAATAATATTCACCCAACATCAAATAATATTCATGAAGAAACATCAAATAATATTCACCAAGCAAAGCAACAATAATATTCATATTCATATTTATAGCACTATATATAAGCACCAAGATTAAATGGGATATAGCCCAATCATTGGCAATCAGGAAACCCTACCTCATGTCTAGCTAGCTTAACCTTGTGCGGGTTCGTCCTCGAAAGTACGCAAAGTAAAACACATAATTAAGATAATTTACTGATTAAAATTCACTGGAAATAAGGAAACACGTTTGAGTGTCCTATTGGAGCACGTAGACATAAAACCCCATAATACACTCAATAAGTTGTTCGACCGGATTGATACTCCCTCAACCTCACGTCCAAGCAAGCATAGAACCAACCATCAAGGAAAAACTAATATATTCCCTCCTATAATAGTTCTATTCTTTGGGATGTTTAAAATCAGGTGGTTCGGCTCTAGACTCGTAAAGAAAATTTTAAACATCAATTTAAAACAAAAACTTCAGTTTTGCTAAACATTTAGGTTGGAACACGTTAAATTTGAAAATTCACTAAATATTGAGTTTAAATCAAAATAATGTAAAAAAAATTTAGATCACAACTAGACGTAGAAAAACTACAAATGTGAAAATTTGATGGAAATTAGGGTTAAGGAAGCATGTCAATTTACAACCAAACTGGATAAAACTTTCCAGATTTGAAGAAAATACGTGAAAGTAAAACATATTAAAATTTCATGAAAATCTAAGTTCAGGAAGTTTTCAAACACGTATTCAAAACAAGGCATGCAACAGAATCAGAACAATTTCAAAAGCATAGTCTCTACTTCGAAATTTGACAAAAAAAATCAATTTAATTTCAAATGACACAAAACCAACTTTGAAATAACCCTTGAGATATCCATTTTGATGTAACAAAATCCCATAATGAAATTGGAACAAAATCACATCGAAATAATTTAGAACTTCACAGAAACACGCTTTGAAAGAGATATATGTCATTGAGTCATTCTAACCAACACTTGATTTACAACTAGTACTCAAAGAGAAAATAAGAAGATGAGCTTCATATATTCAAAGAATCATTTACTTGAGATGATAGTGGCTAATTTGATCAATTGAATGACAAGTAACAAGCCATTTGAGAGAAAGTACACATCTATAACAAGAAATTCAATATAATCAATGAACAAGTTCTACTCTAAACTTTTCCAAGGTGGCTATAGAAGTTCGATCAATCTACATTTTTGATATGTTATAATAGACAGAATTTTGAACAACTTTGATGAAGGAACCAAAGTCATTTAAGTACAGGAAATCATAGAAATATATTGAAGCCGAGCATACTACTACGAAATCAGAAAATGGTAAACATCAAACCAACTTTTCAGAGTCTATACTAATCGGATTGAAGTGAAATTGGAGCATATTATAGGAATCACGTAAATGAACAACTTTTATGAAGGACGTTTTCTCATTTGAGCTTCCAAAATTTGAGTCCTCGGCTACTCCAAGGAAGTGACGAATTTTGGATTTTGAAGAAGAACAAAAGAAGAATGAAGATGAAAATAAGGTGAATGAGGAAGAAAGTGATGAAACAATGAATGATGAGGATAAGAATAATTTCATGACTGAAGATTCTTAGGCTAGGTGAGTCATTAATTTAAGAGAGTGATAATACAATGAATAGGGAGGAAGTGTTCACCCGTTTTGATTTTAATCATGTGATGGTAGGGTAAAGTTCCCCATTGGCTTGACAACCATTGGTGGTCAACAAGTCAACTTTCTTTTGTGCGTAAGTGTGCCACTGCTAGCAGTTTTAAAACCCTAGCAGACTTCTAAAAAATAGATAACTTGCGCCCAAGTTACTGATTCTTAAACAAGTAATTGTGAATTTGGGTGAGGCATATCTCCCAATAAGTTCTTTTATTGCCTCAGATTAGTGAGGACTTCACAATTTTTCACAATACAAAATTGGTAGTTTTGGCCAGAATAGATATAAAAGAAAAACTGTTTAGGCAGAATTGCCTATTATAGGACTCAAAAAGAAATGGAAACTTCAAAAAAGAAACAAAGCGTTGGACTTCGATTTCTGCCTAGGTAGCTGCCTCTGAACTTTGCTAGATTGGATGTGTCTATACTAGATTGAATCGTTAACACCTTCAACTAATGAGTTTCATCTGGAAATCGATACCAACGTTTGAGTTTGGCAGAGCTTCAAGTTATTCTGAGCCATGGAAGGCTTGTTGAACGGGCAGAATTGAGACCTCTTTAGTCTGGAGAGAATAGAAGTGGCTGGATTGATGGTCACTGAGCTAGAGTTGTGCTATGGTGCCTATTGTGCTTGACCAAGGCTTTTTTTAAATTTGTTGAGGTTTTCATTTTTGTAAAAACAAGGACTCTGCTTGACTTGGCTTTGTGCTAAATCAAATTCGTAATGAGAGAAATCTCACTTTGTAAAATTGTTTCTCTGAATTGAACTGAAACCAGAGATTTGAATTCTAGCTGATTTGTTTCTTGTGGATCAAAGAGCTTTTGGTTGCTTTAGGGTCTGAAAGCTTTTGAGATCAGTTGATCTTTTTGAGTTTGTTAGTTGTGACTTTGAGAGTTTTTGTTTTTATTGATTTTTTTGGATGTCCATTGGTCTATTCAAATCCTCTCATATTTATTGAAAACTTCAAACCGCAAACTGAATCGGATTGACCAATTTGGTCCATATTTAAAACTGGAAATAAACTAAAATATCTAAAAAAACCCGAACCAAACCACCCATATCGGTTTGGTTCGGTTGGTTTCTCAGGTTATCGGTTTGATTGCCCACCCCTAGTTTGGATTAATGGAATATAATGTATGGTGAACCCTACACGGCTGTCCCTTAAATAAACTTATTTGAGGGTCCCTCAACCATATATATATATATATATATATATACACAGCCTCCTTCTATTGAAGATATGAACTTTTTCTTAATGAAAGAGGACAAACACTTATATGAAACAGAAATAACACTATTTTGTTATTCCTGGCCAATCACAGCATGCCACACATGATAACTTTTTTATATGCCAATATGTGATTGGCCAAAGATAGCAAAACAATGTTATCCCCGTTTCTTATAAGTGTTTTTCGATGAGGGAGAGCTAGACTCTGTCATTTTTCTCCTTTTGTGCCCTTTTATTTTTTTCAATATCTGGAAAAACGAGAGGTTGCTTTGACCCTAAGAGCATCCACAATGGTTATTCAATAGTTCAATCAATTGAACTGTTTTGATATCTATTGAATTGAACTGTATTTTTACTTGCAATGGTATATTTCAATAGCTTCATATCAGTAGTTGTATCTTCTTACATATATATATTTTTTGTTCATACTCAAATAAAATGAAATGGATAAATTTAATAACAAATTGTACCATTGAAATATTTTTTTAAAAATATGTAAAAAGAGACCAATTTTGAATATATTTGAGACAAAAAAAATTTAATCTCATGCCAAACTTATTTATTTGGATTGTTTTCTTTAAAAAAATATAGGCAAAGAAAGGTTTGATGCAATTCAATAGAGATGTGGGTCTCATGGGTAGCCTAATGCAATGCATTAACGACATAGCGCATTAATTGTTGTATTTTTTTTTTCTATTTTTAATTAGCACGTGGGTCTCATGGTTGGCCTATTGCAATTGCAATAGAGGGTTCATCACATTGCACCCTCTACTACAATTGCATCTATTGTAATGAAATAAATCACAACATTGCAAGTGAAATTTTACAGATAGTCTAAGTAATTAATAGAGAGAAATCTAAAGTTTATACTTACTAATGTTCTTTGTATCATTAAATAATAATAATAATAATAATAATAATAATCACTTGCTAAAGGGACAAATTGAATTTTATAGAGTATCAATATCAACTTCAAAGAAAAGACCCTTTTAAATGGACAATGCTTCTCTCCTTGCCCATGACGAGGAAGTATGCATTTACCTAATATTGTGACTCAAGCCCCAATAATAAAGTGACATGTGTCCTCTTTTCTTTTTTTTTTAATTGTCAAAAGTGCATTTTTCCTTCAAGTGACAAAAAGATATGCTTGGTACAGTCTCTACAACTCAAAATTTACTTGATCCTATATCGCTTTTCCCAAAAAAAAAAAAAAAAAAAAAAAACCCTCCATATCAATGTTGTTGTCGACAAATTTGGTTGTAGGGGAATTATTTAGGTTAAAGTTGCAAAGGGTCACAAAGACTCAAAATTTTGACTGAGGAAAGAAATTTTAAAAAGAAGAAAAGTGAGTTGAGGCAAATAAAAGTGAAAGCTATAGAGATGTGAGTTTCGTCAGAGATGAAAGCTATGGGTTTTTGGCTTTTTGATAAAAAGTAATGGATTCAATTAAGAATAATAAAGGTTGAGTGGTAATGCTCGCAAATCCATAGCTGCACCAATTTTTTTTTCCCCAACATAACTACACCAAATTGATGATAGGCTTTTTGTTATAACTTACGCCAGATTTATTAGCAAATTTATGCCAACTTTTTTTAATTTTTTTTTTAATTTTTTTTTTTTGTGGTCATTCTTGTTGAAACCCTAAGATAATAAAAGTGAAGGGAAAATCTACCTTTGACAATCAAACAAAAAGACGTTGTTGAGCCATAATAGAAAGCAATGAGGAGTTTCTCCTTATGGGCAATGAGAGAAGTATCGTATCACAAATAATTTATGAGATTAACGCTGATTGCTAAATACACTTCAAGATTGTCTCATACATGAATCAAACCGGGTGCAAAACACACCTCAAAATTAACAAAAAATTAGGATGATAATAAAAAACGGAACCACCAGGTTGACAATTGCCAATGCCTTCTCTCTATTAATGCAATACAAGCACTGAACACGTGTAAACCATAAAAAATCTTGCAGTGGATGTTGACCACGTGTGACTTATGTTCCGTAGTAATCTGTCATCAGTGAAAATTTGGACATTGGCATGGAAAGTTCTGTAGTTCAATCTCAGTTTTGAAACTGCAGTTGATTAAATACTCATCAAGACTTACCAATACCAAAAATAACTTCACCCGGTGACCATGATACTTACTCTCAAACATTGACGCTTCTTCTGAGAAAGTTGCATGTCCTCTGATACGATTGACTACAAACTTTATATATTGAGTGCCAGAAAAACAACTATCATGGATTCGATATTCACATAAAAATCTATTCATAAAGGTTTCAAAACAGCAACGATCAATTCCCCTGTCAATCTAAGCTTTAGATTCATCGTCAGAACCCCAAAGCATGAGTGTCAATGTCAATCTCAGTATCAACCTCAGGGAAAACGAGATGTTGCCAGCATGCAGAGTTTAGGCTTGCTCTGTACTGTACCAAGACTTGCACACGAAAGGAACATTCAACGGCAATGACGTCATACCAACTCTTCCAAACACATTCCCAAGAAAGAGCGTCATGATTTCCAGTCACCATTTCTAGAACCCTCACAGCTGAACTTATCAATTTGAGAAGCAAGCGCTAATATTTCAACATCGCCGCCATCAAAACCAGAGCAATCTCTAGCATCCAAAAGCACAAGTTCTTTGCAGCACCGGAATAATGTGACAAGATTATCCCGATGTATGTATGACTTCCTCAAGCTCAAGTACTTAATATTAGGAACCAAGTTAACAATTGCCAATGCATCTTCTCTACCAATTACAGCATTCAACACAAGTAAACGACAAAAATTCTTACAGTGAATGCTGATCTGCAAAAGGAGTTCCTTCAAATTATTACTGCCCCCCCTCAATGACAACAGCTCCAAATGTTTACACTTTCCAATCAGCTCTGGGATAATGCTTGATGAATAGATCAGTGAACAGCGATGCAAAGACAAACCCTTCAGTCCATGACACCTGCAAACAAAAGTTACCATGACTCGTCTTTGGGGTGAGTACAAACTTGATGTAGCACCAGTTTAGAGAACTTAGAAATCTAGAGAGATTTAGAGAAGAAGGTGATGAGACAGAAGAACAAGAGAGCAGACATGGATCCAAAAGGTTAAAACACAAAGCTGAAAATGACTCAGGCATAAACAACGTTAAAACATAAATACAATACTTATAAGCTAGGAACCCTGGAGAAGAAGAAGAAAAAAATAATAAATTGTTTAAAGAGTAAGTTGAACCACAAATTTAATGCACATAACTCACAACAAATACAACAAATTAACTGTTGTACTTTTAGATGTTAAAACACATATCACAGAAAATAAAGCTTAACCAAAGAGTCTACTTCTCTCAATCTATAGAGATAGGAACACATTGATAGTTTTGATTGAGGAAACTTACACATCTGCAACACGATTCAATAATGCAATTTGACAGAGTGGAGGCAGCCTGAGGAAAGTAGCCTGTCCTCTGCTACGATTGACTACAAACATTATGAATTGAGTCTCAGAAAAGCAATTATGATCAATTTGATATCCCCATACAAATCTGCGCATCAAGGTATCGAAACGGAAAAGCTCTAGTCTTCTGTCAACCACAGCTTCAATTTCATTGTCAGAATTCCAAAATCCCTCATTTCCAAGGTCAATCTCAGTATCAACATCAGGCAAAATGAGACGTTGCCAACATGCAGAGTCGAGGCTTGCTCTGTACCAAGACTTACACACGAAAGGGACACCCAAGAGCAATGCCGTGATACCAACTCTTCCAAACACATTTGCCAAACAGTCCACGTTTAGGTTTTCCCATCTTGGTTGAAATTGAACCGTCTACAAGAATCGAAAATCCAGAAATATAGTTGTAGTTGTAGATATGCTAAAATATAACACATAAACAAAATGCATAACGAAATTCAACAAATCCAATCAAATCCCAAAATCTAATTAGATTCAAAGTAATCATTAGTTTCATTATTTTCATTTTCATTCTTGAAATCTCAAACCCACCACGAACTGAAACCAATAATTTCAGCCAATCCAGTAACTTTAATCATGAAACAAAGATTAAACCTTGAATATTTTAATATGGGCACAGCTGATTATTACTAGAGTACAGTGTTAAAAGAAATATATAATTCATACCTGACGAAGCTTCTTGGTTTGGGGAAGGTCGGGATTCGCCATTGGAGTGGTTTGGGGACACAGAACGAAAATCTTCCTCTTATAGTCCCAGCAGAAGAAAAACAAAATCACAAAATCAAGAAGAAATGAAAGCGATTGAAACTGAAATGGGTTTTTAGGTGGAAATCAAAAGACCCCGAACCAGACCTAGAGCAAGACAAGTAGAATCATCAAGAAAATTCTTTCCAAGAAAGAGTAAACAAACCTTTTGATTGATTTGAGTGCTTGAGTTTCATCTGCAACGAACAGCAGAGAAAGGACCCAAGGGAGGCTAAACTCGACACCCGAATGCGTACGATTTTCCGGGGATGCCAGGTCAGAAAAGCCCTGTCCAGTTATGCTCCAATAAGGTTGTGCCACCTGTCCAATCGTAAAAGAGTAAGAATTTCCATTTGGGTTTTATATTGATGTCCTATTCTCTCCCCTAACGGACAATTTGGAGAGTTTACACAAATATTCATTTTTGATGAACTTAAGATTAACTTTCCACTTTCACCCATGTCATTTTATTTTGGCAAAAAGTCATTTTTGATTCCTGTGGTTTACCACTTTTACCACTAAGGTCCCTGTGGTTTCAATTCCGTCACTTTTGTCCCTGTGGTTTCAATTTGATGCAATTTAAGGACAATTCTCAATTTATGATACTTATTGAGGGGCATTTCAGTCCAAACTTGCAGCCCCTCCCCAACCACCTCCACCGCCGCTAGCCCTCCAAAAACTCCTCCATGTTGTAAACATTGACAATCCCACTGTCTAAACCAACAACAAACAATGCTTATTGGAGATGTACAAAGAGAGGTACCATTATACAATCTTCATTAATAATTTTTTTCAGACATTATGTCGAATTACATAATAAGAAACTATCAAAGCTTGTGACACTAGCACAAGGTGCAGTAAGGGCTGCAATTGATGATACTGTTGTAATCATGGGCTACTTTTATGAAGCTTACAAAAGACCGAAGTAGACTTGCTCTGGCTACCTTGTTTTTCTTTTTTGGCTGGAGATTACCTCCATCCCTTATGAAGAAATGAAATGGATTATGATTATAATTGTGAGTTTTTCTTTGGGTTCAGAAATTTTTTTTTAAAGAAATGTATCTCCCTTGTGTAATCCTAAGGCCCGCTCGATTATGATTTTGTTAGTTGATGTTTATGCATAGATGGCCATAATTTTTATCAACAAAAATTCAAATGGAGCATTGTTTGTTGCCGGTTTACAACAAAGATAAGTTTTTGGAGGGGTTGCTGGGTGGCTGTAGGGTGGTTGGGAAGGTGCTGCAAGATTAGACCGAAATACCCCTCAATAAGTATCAAAAATTGGGAATTGTCCTCAAATTAGTTCAAATTGAAACCACAGGAACAAAAATGACGAAATTGAAACCACAGGGACCTTAGTGGTAAAAATGGTAAACCATAGCGACCTAAAATGACTTTTGGCCTTTTAATTTGTGTAAGTTTAGTTAATGTTGTTTTCTTTAGTGTTAAATCATGTAGTTTTAATATGCAACTACGACACGTGAGACTTCAGTTGTCTCTAATAAAAACGCTTGCGGCTGGTCTAACACGTGAGCATTCCGTTTATTTTACTTCACAATGTTAGGTCATTGGACTTGATTACCAAAACTAGATAATTGTCAAAATTGAAATAACAAGAAAAAGTAAAGCGAAGTTGACGACGTGATATAACTTTGTTTCTAGTGTCTGCATTTCTTGTAGACCGATGATGAGGATGAACAAAGATGGGTCACTGGAGGAGTTAGACATGGACTGTTTGATAAACGTGCTTAAAAGAGTTGGAACTAAGTCCGATCCCTTTTGTGGGGAAGTCATTGTACACAAGAACTCTCAATTTTAAAAGAGTTGGAATTATATCTAAAATCATATACTTTTAATACAATTTTAGCTACACTATTCAAACTAAGATAAAAGAAGAAACCATCAGACAAAAATTATATATATACTAAAACTGAGTTAAGGAATTCACTGTTCCTAGACTGTAGCTTAGGAATAGTAAAATTACGGTTTTGCCCCTACGTATGTTCTTTGTTCTTTTTTGTCCTATTTGGAACCACAGTAAAATGACCGTATTGCCCTTCGCTCTTTTTACTTTTTGTCCTATTCAACAACAAAAGGCAAAGATTTTTTTTTTAAAAATATATATTTTTAAAATTTTAAACTTCCTATAAATTACCCCATTTAATATACTTATTTTGTAAGTGACATTTATGTATAAAATTAATTATCTAATTAAATGTTTAAATTAAGATAGTTTAAAAGTTCAAAAAATACATGCATGCATAGAGTACAAAATGGAATAGTATTAGACTCCCTATATTTGGATATAACAAACACATATGCATTTTTGTTATATTCAAACAAGTATATTGTCAAAAACATATAGTCTTAAAGTTATATATTCTTAATTATCATGATTTATATTTTTGTTAGGTTATAATAACCACACATATTATATTCAAACAAGCATATTGGCGAAAAATACATGGTCCTAATAAAGTAATATATACTCATATAGATATGCAAATATATGTATATATAATAAACTTTTAATATATATATATATATATATATATAGGCATGTGTCTACTTCTTATGTATACACGTATGTATGTGTGCTTTATATATACACAAACATTATAACCAAAACTAGATAGACACGTATCAAATAGTATATAAAACATGTTATTAGTTTATCTTTTGTAACTAAAACTTGAGAAACTAAATGCGATGACACTATTTACATTTTCATGTATATGTACATAGAACGTAATCCCTGCCTATTTTCATCATTTTATACACATTTCACACAATTTTAAAACCCGCAGCATCGCGCGGGCACCTTTTGCTAGTATCTACTATATTAGACAATTCCACAACCCAAAGGTAAAGTCTGGATCCTATTACATAAACCCTCCAAACATACCAACAAGCTGAATGTAATCTCACCAGATTTAGAATTCTCAACTGTCACTTTCTGATGGAAACAATTCTCAACCGTTAATCACTTCGTTGTCACGGAAAGGGGGTTTAAAATATCGAACTCCGTTAACAAGAGAAGTGGACAAGAAACACCTAAGCTAAGACACTATGCTTTGCTTTGCTTGAAAAGCAAACACTCACATTAATGTCTAAATGCTTATGTTAGTACGCAACCACAAAAGAGGGTCATCAACACACTTAGAACCCTCACAGCTGAACTTACCAATACGAGAAGCAAGCACTGATATTTCAACATCACCTTCGTCAAAACCAGAGCAATCCCTTGCATCCAAAAGCACAAGTTCTGTGCAGCCTCGCAGTAAAGTGAGAAGATCGTCCCGATCAATGTATGCCTTCCTCAGGATTAGGTACTTAATATGAGGAAGCAAGTTGACAATTGCCATCACGTCTTCTCTTTTGATTAAAGCACCCGACATATTTAAACGGCAAAAGTGCTTGCAGTGAATGCGGATCTGTGCAAGGATTTCCTCCAAATTATAGCTGCTCAGGAAGCTAACATTAGGAATCAAATAGGGAATCTTCATTGCTCCTTGTCTATTCATTAAAACAGCTGGCACATTTATGTTTAGAAAATTCCTGCAGCATCCCATGCTGAACTGTAACAGAATCTCCTCCAAATTATGGCTACCTCCCAGTGACAACAACTCCAAATGTTTGCACTTTCCAATCAATTCTTTTACAATGCTTGATGAACAAAGCAGTAAACGTCTGGGCAAAGACAAACCCTTAAGTTCATGACACCTGCAAATAAAAGTTTACCAAGACTCATTTTTCAGGTGACAATACAAAGGTTTTAATATCGAAATGCATGTCTTAGATAATACAGCTTAACCAAAGAGTGACTCTTTTCTCTCCACCTATGAGTTTGAGAAAACTTACACATCCCCAACATATTTCAATGCTGCTTCTGGACAGAATCCAGGTAGCCTCAGGAAAGTTGCATGTCCTCTGCTGCGATTGACTACAGACGTTATAAATGCGGTATCTGAGAAACAGCTATCATCAATTTGATATTGAGATACAAATCTACTGATCAAGGATTCGAAGCAGAGACGATCAGATTGAATGTCGATCTCAGCTTCAATTTCACTGTGATAACGCCAAAGTCGATGAGTTTCAAGGTCCATCTTAGTTTCAGTGTCAACAAAAATGAGACGTTGCCAGCATAAAGGGTGGAGGCTAGCCCTGTACCATGACTTGCACACAAAAGGGACATCCAAGAGCAAGGACCTCATACCAACTTTTTCCAACACATTCACCAAACAGTCCGTAGGTAAGTCATCCCATCTTGGTTGATCAATCTACAAGAAATGAAATCCAGAAACAGGCCTTATAAATATGTACTTTATAATACAGAACCAAAACGCATACCAAAGACAGCACAAGGAAATTCAACACAGCCAATCCAGTCTCAACTCCCAACCTCTAATTAAAATTTTCTTTAAAGATTCTTTTCTTTTTTCGGTTCAGGAAATTCATATTCATGCTTGCAATCTAAATCCCACAATGCTGTAATCAATTTAAACTTTTAAGAACAGGGTGAAATGAGAAATCCAACAAATTTAATCATATAAAATCATACCTGGCCAAGCCTAGGGCACCGAGAGAAGAGAGAAGACACAAAAGGTGAAATTAATGTTCTTGCTCTTGCGCAAAGTAGACAAAGCTTCTTTGCACAAAAACCTAACACGTACTCGATAATCATTCCCTCAGCTTCAGAAAAGTTCCAAGAAAGAGAAAACGAACTTTGATTGAAATGCGAGTGAGTTTGATCTGCAACCAAACATCGAGGTAAAGCAATCAATTCGGTTAGGAGAAGATTTTTAACTTCAAATCACGCAAAGGACTGGTGGAAGAGAAAGGGTCAAAAATTGAAAACGAAAACTGATGAGCAATTTGTTAAACAAACTACCTGGGAGAAGAAGAATGGTCGCCGAATTTTTGATTCTTGAACGAGAGTTGAAGTGTGAGAGAGAGAGAGAGAGAGAGAGAGAGAGAGAGAGCGTACCTTCTATTTACTGAGTGAGTAGTGGGCTACGCACATGACTTGGACCAATTTGAGTATTGGGCTGGACAATATCGCCCCTAGTCGATACTCACCGGAGTTCTTTGAAAGTACAAAGAAAATTATAAAAATATCCTCGACGGATCTTAAAGCCCAAAAAGTCAAATTTCAAAGTTTTTGTTTATGCTTTTTTTTATATAATTTTTAATATAACAGAATTATATTTTGTAACACATAATTATAATTAAGCCACACAGAATTATATTTTAATTAATATTTAATATTAGGTAGCCTCTCTTCCTTTTTATTTATTTACAAGTTAAGCCACACAAACTTCATTCTTTTGGGCATATGCCTGGTTTTCAGCTCAATTAGGAAGCGAGTTGACAAGTGCCATTAGTGTTTTTTTTTTTTTTTTTTTTTTTTTTTTTTTTTTCTTCTCTTCTTCTGAAAGGATCTAGTCTTGTAGTTTTGATCAAAGATTATACCGTTCATTTTGTCGTCTGCATGACAGAATCTATCTTCTTGTCGCCAAAAACATAAGCAGATCAACTTTTTTTCAGAAATGGTTTCAGTATGAAGGCGGCCTTGCTTTGTCCTCAGAAGATGTTAAATTTCTACACTTCCATGTAACTGTGAATCAAAATCCAAATAAACTCTTGAAGCAAATCCTCGAATACCAAATCGAAATGGAAGTGGTAAACACAACCCTGTGCATGAATCTATACCAAAAATATAAACCTCGAAAACAAGATTGATCATCGACATAAACAAGCAATAATTAAACCACAAAATGAATTTGTCACACTCAAACCAACATTTAAGATTTAACATAAAATTCAAAAGATAAGGTTCATTCTAATTTAAGTACTAGTTGCTAATGTTACTGGCAAAGATTGAATTCTAAAATTCTGCTGCACTTCATTGATACCTGTAGTAGCACATATCATTACAGACTTGGTGGTTCAATCCAAACTCTGAGCATATGAGGGCTGCGGTCCTCATAATGTTTGCAGGACTGGCGTATTAACGAATGGCTGCGGATTTGGCCAATCCCAGACTTGATTGGGTAGAAGTACGATCTCCTAAATCCATGATAATAGATACGATCAGACAAATCCTTTATTTCCCCATCTGCAGAAATCAAGAATGAAATATCACCAAGGAATAATACTCTGTTACCCAAGCTAACTTCCTTCACCCATGTCATTTGCAACCAGTCCAGCCTGAAAATGTGCCAAGGCTTATAGCTCCGCTTAGAGTATACTAGTAACACTTCTCCATCGGACTCAACAAATCTAGCTTCAAAAGAGCCTGCAAGGCTTCGTAACTCCGATGAATTCGTGTTTTCTGAAATAAGCAAACTCCACTTTTTGGTAGCAGGGTTGTAGGAACCTAGCATTCCAGTTTTGAAAATACAGTAAAAGATGCCCTTGATATAGACCACACCAATTACTTGCTTCAAATTACCTTCAACAGCTAGAGACTCAGTCCATTTTCTATCACCATGGCTGCAGGTGCTTATGCACATTACTTTCTCTCTTTCCTCATCAGCATGTATGGCAAAAAACAAACAATCTTGGGATGTCAGATTGGAGGTGAATGTGGCTTTAAATTCCTTGGTTCTTAAACGGGGCAAATTGATACTCGCATCATCAGTGAAAGGATTGTAGAGGTAAAAATCAGTGTGACCAAAGAAAAAAAATGGTGTAATTTCAGCTAGAAGCAACCAACCGTTTCTTGCACCGCAAACTTGTAGTTTGACAACCCCACTCCAGCTAGAAGATGTTAATTCATGATCAAGCTTATATGCTTCAAGGGTACATGGATCATAGAGGCTAGATGGGTACATATAATTTTTAAAACTGAAGTTTAATGTTAGAACCCAGGGCAGTTTATCTTTAGGCCTAATACCAGCAACCAGTCCAAAATTCTTGCAAACAGCACGAAATTGAATTTGGTCCACAAAACAAAGGTGCCCCATAATGCAACACAATATGTCATACGGAAGATCAGACCATGGCGGGCTTCCTCTCCTTAGCCTTTTATCAGTAACTACTGACATTTTCTGTACAACAATGATAAATGTCAAGCAAATAATGGAGTTCATACAAAACAAGGTTCCCCCCATTATACAAATTTCTTCTTTAAGAGCAGGACGATGAACAATTGGGTTTGTTGGAAATCAAAGAGGGCGATGAAAATATATACCCAAATTTTGCTCTTTACCTATTCATTGTATCAAATTGTACTAAAACCTACAAAGTCTTTCTTTTCCCCTGTTTATCCTTCTGCTAACCACACCCAATAAAAAAAACCTAAAGGCCATAGGTTTCTTTTTTTTCTCCCTGCTTATCCCTTTTGCTAATCACACCCAATAAAATCCCAACACACCAAATGTCAAGAATTTGCAGTGTCAATTCTATAATGAAAATGAAAAGGCCATAACTTTAGGCCATACCTGGGTAATGGTAATGGAGGCCTCCTCCTCCTTCAACAATGGAGGACTAGGAAGCAACAGTGGGCCGAATATTCACGAGAGTTGGAGGGTCTTCCTCCTTTGCCTTGCCTGGGTCGTGACTCGCGAGGGGTCTAAGAACACCCACTTACCAAGACTCAAACGTTTCTTTTTTTTATAAATCGGTTTATGATATCAAAAAATTGTATGGGCCTGTTGGTTTGGTTTAAGAGCACTTCCAGCAAGGGGACCAAGAGGAGGGCTGTGGTGGTTGTGCGGGGGAGCCCAAAATGGTGTTTCCAGCAACAAAAGGAGTGGGACCTAGCTAACGGCTGGCCCGAACCCCAGCCTGCGGGCTAAGCTGACGTCAGCGCAGGCTCTCAAAATTTTTTTAACGTCCACGCGCCAACGTTAAAAAAATTTGAACACCAGCGCTACAGTGTCCGCCAACGGATATGTGCCACGTGTCGCGTCCTGAGCTCTCCGATCATAATTTTTACTCAAATCGAACAGCAGCCAATTTTTTTCCAATAAAAATAAAAAAATAAAAAAAATACCCAAAAAATACTGATTTTTTTTTCTATAAATACCAACAAATACTCTTCAGTTTTAACACCAAATCCTCATATATTTTCTTCTCCTTCTACTATTATTCACTTTCTACTCAATATTTTTATATGAAATTTGAATTTCGAAATGTATATGAAATTTGACATTTTAAATTTATCTGAAATTTGAATTTTGAAATGTATCTTAAATTTGAAATTTATTTGAAATTTGAAACCAAAAATATTATCCGATATGAATAGTATTGACATGTAGGAACCCAAAAATCTTATCCGAAAATATTAACAAAATTAATTGTTTAAATAAACAAAGTTGTGAAAAAAACAAAAAAAGATGAATAGTATTTGCCATGGCAAAGGGCTAACTGCTGGAAACACACTTTGTTGGGGAGAGCTAGGGCAGCCACTATTCACGCGAATAGTAGCTGCCCTAGGGCTCCCCTTACCATGGCAAGGGGCTAATTGCTGGAAATGCTCTAAGAAATCCAATCCTCACCCTTCATTGAAACCAACGGGCAGGGTTTATCTCTATTTCTTTTTCTCAGGAATTGGTTCATGCTCCTTTTTTTAAGAGATTTCTTTTATCAACAATTTTTCTCCATGAATGAATTCACAGTCTCCCCTAAAAAATACATATGCTTTTCATATTATTGAAATACAACTTGCTTATGCAGTTCTGATCTCTTGGACTACAAGGGTCCAAGAGATTTGTAGTCACTCACCGTACAAAAAGTTTCTCAAAATGAGTGCGAGAGTGAGCGAACCGTTGAATTTACATCCAACGATAGGTGACCACAATTCTCTTGGACCCCCGTAGTTCAAGAGATCGAGACTGCTTGCCTATGTTAGTTTTTTTATCTGGTCAAAATATAATTAACATGTGCTTTTTTAAGAGAGAAAGACTCTCTTTGCTATTGCTACATATTGTATAGATCATTGAGTCCTGTATATCATTTCATTTTATTGCTAAAATATGATACTTGGTTTAAATACTTTAGGTTAATTGTATCTTTTTCATAAAGAGATAATTTGGAATTTATAAGGGTGCTTTACAAGGAAATAGATACAGTAATTAATTAGGAGAAATATCTCCTAATTATACCAGGATGTGTCAACTATATGAAACAAAGAAGTAAATCACCTAATTAACTTAGGAAATAAATCTTCTTGAATTAGTAGGTTAACTCACGTCAACACTCCTCCTCAAGTTGGTGCATATACGTCACCATACCCAACTTGGTAAGTGAGTCACAAAACACTCATCCACAGACGACTTTTGTCAAGAAATCCGTTAACTGATCTTCTGATTTAACAAAGGGTAAGCAGATTATCTTGTTCTCAATATTTTCTTTCATGCAATGATTATCCACCTCAACATGTTTTGTTCGATCATGTTGAATTGGATTATGAGGAACATTGATTACTGACTTATTATCACAATGTAACTGCATGGGCTTGTCTAGTTTAAAACCCAATTCTGTTAAGAGTCCTATAATCCACAATAATTCACAAACTCCTTGAGCTATACCTCGATACTCTGCTTCTGCACTAGACCGGGCATCCACATTTTGTTTTTTACTCCGCCAAGTGATTAGTTACCTCTAACGAATGTAAAGTACCCCGATGTAGAGTGTCTATATGTAATGGAACTAGCCCAATCAACATTTATATATCCAACAACTTCAAGATTTCCATTCTTTCATAACATTAATCCCTTTTCAGGTGCTGACTTTAAGTATCTCAAGATCCGATCAATTGCATTCATATAAGAAACACTGAGTGAAGGCATAAACTGACTAACCACACTCACAACATATGCAATATCTAGTCTTATGGGTGCCAAATATATCAACATTCCAACAAAGCCCTGGTGTTGTTTCTTATTGGTTGGCAGATGGTCCATGTCTTCACACAACTTGTGATTCATCTCAATGAGTGTGTTAGCAGGCTTACATCCTAGCATTCATGTTCCAATGTGTATCCATCATATATTTCCTTTGAGACATAAAAATACCAAATTTTGATCTTGCTACTTTAATTCTGAGGAAGTATTTTAGAGCAACTAAATCCTTCATCTCAAATTCCCTAGACAAATACTTTTGTAGCTTATGTTGCTCTCATCCGTCGTTCCCAGTTACAGCTATGTCATCTACATAAACAATTAATGTAGTAATTTTTCCTCCATCACACTTCAAGAACAAGATGCGGTTTGAATTACTTTGAGTGTATCCAAAATTCCTTATGGACTTAGTAAATCTTCCAAATCATGCCCTGGGAGATTGTACTAACCTATATAATGATATCTTGTGCTTGCAAACTTGATTTTTCTTGTCATGAGCTAAATTACATCTTGGTGGTAAATCCATGTATACCTCATTTTCCAAGTTTCCATGTAAAAAAGCATTTTTAACATCGAACTGATGTAATGGCCAATATAGATTTGCTGCTAGAGATAGTAGGACTCTGATAGTGTTGATCTTGGCTATTAGGGCAAAGGTCTCTTAGTAGTCTACCCCATACCTCTATGTATACCCCTTCGTCACCAATTTGGCTTTATATCTTTCAATAGATCTATCTGCTTTGAGTTTCACAATATAGATCCACCTGCATTCCATCGTCTTATTTTTGTGAGGTAAAGGCACGATATCCCATGTGGTATTCTTCTGGAGAGCTCGCATTTCTCCATTTATGGCTTCGTTTCATTCTGAGTCTTCTAATGCTTCATATTCACACTATTTGGGACAGATATATCGGCCAATTGGTTCACAATGTGTACATGTAACTATGATAATCTGTTTAAAGATATAAAATTATTGATGGGGTATTTTCATTTGCCTTTAAGATGTGCTTCGTATTGGTACTCGAGGTTTACCAACGGTTTTTCCTTTATCAAAGTTGGTATATATAGGGGTACCTGTATCCTTTATGCTTTCTGAAATCAAATTATCATGATATATTTCATTAGTGTTATCAGTTTTAGGGGGAGATGTTACCTGAATGACATCCTGAACATGCAATTAGTATGGTTCTAGAGCTAAAGACGGGTCTGGAGTGGGCAAAATCTCAGAAAACGAATTAACAATCTTCTTTTGATTTTGGCAGCAGAGAGGCAATCAGCCGTGTGGCTCTAACGACTGTTCATGTTGTGGCAGAGATACATGGTGTGAAAAATCCGAGGGAGGAGACCGATTGTTTTGGAAGGACTACTGGCCGTTTAAAGGCAGAGACTCCTTATGAGCACGGATAAAGGGGGTCGACTGGTCGCTTTGATGCTAAGTCTCTTTGGTTGTGAAAAAATCCAGAAAGTCAGGGTGTTTGACTCTAAATTCTCCTAATGCGCTTCTGAAAAATATATATCGTGTTTCCGGAACACTACATCCATGGAGGTATATACCTTTTGACTTGAAAGGTGATAACATCGGTAACCTTTCTAATGAAGGGCATAGCCAATGAAAAACACTTTTCTGCGTGGAGCTTCAATTTGCTTGTTGGTAATCATGTAAGTGTAACAATACAACACAACCGAAAATCTGTGGTTCAAGGTTTGGGGTGGGAAGTATTTGGATATGTTGGTGAAGTGTTTGAAGAGGAGTTTGGAAATTCAACATACTTGAGAGAATCCTATTGATAAGGTAAGCTGCAAAGAGGACGTCCTTGCCCTAAACAGATCCAGGCATGTTGGCACCACATAGAGAGGCAACTACGACTTCCAGTAAATGTTGGTTCTTTCACTCAGCCACTCCATTTTGGGGAGTATATGGACATGAGTGTGATGTATGATGTCATGATCCTATAAGAATTTGTTGAGGTAATGATTAAGAAATTCTCTGCCATTGTCAGAACGGAGAACTTGGATTTGGGCATCAAACTAAGTCCTCCCCCCCCCCCCCCCCCCCCCCCCCCCTCCCCCCCCCCCCGCTAGTTTGCCCAGGAAAACCCAAGTTATTCGGGTATAGTCATCAATGAAAGTGACAAACCATCGAGTCCATCCAGAGCAACGATTTGAGCAGGCCTTCAAACATCATAATGAATAAAGGAGAAGGAAACCAAACTTATTTTTGTACTTAATGGGAACGGAACATGATGGCTCTTAGCCAATTCACATGTATCACATTGGACACTGGAAACATCAAAATTGGAAAATAATGATGGAAACAACTTCTTCACATAATAGAACGAGGCATGCTCAAGACATTTATGCCATAACCAAACTTTGTCATTGTACCTCTCAGAACGAGCTCCATTTGTTATGAAATCTTGACCAATCTTAGTCTCACTATCCGGTGCCTAGTCTAAGTAGTAAAGTTTGCCTTGCCTAGTACCACAACCAATCGTCTTCCTGAAGAGGATGTCGTAAAAAAATACAATGATTCGGCAAAAATATTACACGACACCCCAAACTAGTAGTAAGTTGTGCAACAGACAACAAGTTATGGTCCAAAGATGGAAGAACCAATACAAAATCAAGATTGATGAAGTTATAGAGAGACAGAGAGCCTTCCCCAACCACAAGGGAGGGGGTACCATTAGCATTAGACACCACTGATTGTGTGGAGGGTTTATGAGTAATAAGTTGGTCAGGATAAAATGTCATGTCATCCATAGCACTCGAGTCAATAATCCATGTGTGCTTTGGAGATGACGTATGGAAAGCAGAACCTTTGATGGTGGCTATAGAGGCACAAGCCCATGTAGCTTGTTCAACATGATTGACTGCATGCTTCTTTGAGTCTACAAGGAGGGAGAGAATCGTTGGGGGGGCCTGACATAATAACGGAAGGAAGATTTGATATGAGTGGGTGTTTGTAGTTGAGGAGTGGATTTAAGAATTTGAGGATTTTGATTTGAGGAATTTGATTTAGGAATTTGATTTGAGAGGTATGTGTTTAAGGAGTTTGATAAGAAGATTTCATTTGAGAGGTAAGGAATTTGATTTAGGGTTTGGATTTTGAATTTGAGGATATGATTTGAGGGCTTAAAGACGACCTAAGATCGGTTGTTCTGATACCATGCTAAAATATGATACTTGGTTTGAATACTTCGGGTTAATTGTATGTATATATAGGAGTTTACAAGGGTGCTTTACAAGGAAATAGATACAGTAATTAATTAGGAGAATATCTTCTAATTATACAAGGATGTGTCAATTATATGAAACAAGGAAGTAAATCACCTAATTAACTTATATAAAAAGAAAATATTAACTTTTAATATATATATTATTAGAGAAAAGAAATAGTCTTGAATTTAAGATATAAATATAATAATATCATGTAATATTTTTCTCTAAAAGAAATATAATTTAACAAGAATAATGCTACACTTACCACATTTTTATCCCATATTTCTATACCACATGATGTGACATGTCCATATCATATGTCATATCAATTAAATGAATGAAATGTATTTTAATAAATAAAATTAGAAAAACAGAAACTATTATTTTACATGATGTGGTGTGTACACATCAGCTGCCACATCATGTAATATAAAACTGTGGTATAAAAATGTGGTAAGACTAGTATTATTCATTTAACAAATGGACTTTATATGGGCCAATCCTTTGGGTTTCGAATTGACATTGCCTATGATTGGCCACAGGCCATTCCGGCCCATTGGGCCTAATTACCTCATTCTGGCTCGCCATTCTCACAATCTCATCCTCATCCTCAACCCCATTCTTACTCTCATTTTCTTCTATACTCTAGCACAAAAAATGAAAAATGAAAAACTAAAATTGAAATGGTTATCAAACGGGCCCGAATATTCCTAATCTTTCTTTTGCGCACACCTTTGTTATGTATAGTGTGCCAAAGCCCAAAACAAAAACAATGAGAAACGTTTGTAAAATTGATTTTGATACCAAAGAACGTTTTAAAATTTTGAACATAAGTACTTTGTTTAATATGTTAATCTAGCTTTCTTTTTTTTTTCTTTTTTTTTTTTTCAAATAGGCATGAGAGGGAATTTTCTCACACAATGCCAATATATCTAAGAAAAGCATGACTCTGCAAGTTAAGGCCTTTTATGCCGGACTACACCTCATTAGCATTACTCCAAGCTAGAAAATAATTAAATTGTAATAAAATAAAGAGTGCAGATGAAAAAAAATAAAGAGTATTGCTATTTCCACCCCCTTATTCTATTTTCCCACCCATCTTATCATCAAAATTTTAGAGACAAATTTACCCTTTTGTAAAATGACTTTTAAAGACTTAATGAAAAGGATCTCCATGATTTTGTTGCCTTTTCCTCTCAACATGCCACATCATTTAAATTCAATCTAAGTGCTTGAGAGTTGACACGTCACAATTATAAATTAAAAATAATATTTGAATAAAGCTTTTTGATATATTATTTTTGACATATCTCTTCTGACCTTCAAATTCATATACGATTTGACTACTTTATTGGAGCAACTTGAACCTTCAATTTTTGTCAATTGGTAAATAAATTTGTTCTTCTCTCTTTCTTCGTTGTTGTTGGAGAGAGAGATATATATATATATATATATATATAGGTCATGCTAGAGATACCAACTTGTGTACCATCTTTCTAATAGAGGTGGAGCCCACCAATACAATGGGTCCCACGCTCTATTAAAGAGATGACACATAAGTTGGTATTTAAAGTTGGTCTCCCTAGCATTTTCCTATATATATATATTTTAATAAATAAATTTGTTCTTTTCTCTTTTTGACTTGTTGCTAGACTGAGAGAGATTGAATTTGCTTGAATTAATAAATAAAAGGTATTTTAGGAATAATGGTGGGTGGAAAGATAGGATTGTGTATTTTCAAATTTATATGGTGAGTGGAAAGATAAGATGAGTGAAAAAATAAGACTGTGGGTAAAAATAACAGCACTTAAAATAAGTATTATTTAGTTGAACAGTGTGCCACGGGAAAAAGAAGAACCAATGGAACTGCGCCCCTCGGTTGAATTGAACCGTGTGCCGCCTAATAAAAACAATCGATTTCTTCAGTACTTAATTTGCAAAAGAAAACTAAGAACATAATTATCTTTCAAGATATATGACTGCATTCAATGAATTAACGTAAACATACAGATAATCTTGCATGTCCAGTGCTATCATAAAACGCAACAATAATGTTGCACTGTGGGCTCACAGAGTCACGCACGGTCTTCTGGTTTTGACAAGAGAAACGGAATGTCTCTGGATTTCTTTACATAGAATCATTGACAAATAATACGAAGGAATGGAACAGACAAAGGAACAGAGAAAACATATAATATTAGCTTTAGCTTTAGATAAGGAAGCCGATAAGATACTCTTAGAACTGAGACACCTGTTTCTCATGCAATGTCTCTCTCTCTCTCTCTCTCTCTCTCTCTCTCTCTCTTTTTCAAACACACAAACACAATCTAGATATCCTAAAAACAACCCCTTTGCTGGTTTTGCATAAACTCTCTCCTTTTCTTTCTTCTTAACTTGTATGTATATTTATAAGCTGCAGAAGCAGCTTCAAGCATTATTTTTACCAATTAACAGTTTGCTTAGACTGTTTAAAGATTGAGGTCATAGCTAGTAACTATGGCTAAGCAGGGCTCCTTGTCCATAGCAAGTACTGCAGAAGATCGTGTTGAAGCCAAGATCACACCAATTGTCATCTTTTCATGTGTACTGGCTGCTACTGGAGGCCTCATGTTTGGTTATGAGGTTGCCATTTCTGGTCAGCCCCTCTGTTTCTCTCTCACATATAAAATAAAATACCCACAATTTTTTTTTCTTTCTGTTTTAGTTAAAATTGACAATGATTTTTGTTTTTGTTTTTGTTTTAATTTTTGGGTTGTTCTTATTGATGCAGGAGGTGTGACAGCCATGCCAGATTTCTTGAAAAAGTTCTACCCTGATGTCTACGCTAGCACTCAGAAACTGAATATCAATAGCAATTATTGCAAATACAACAATCAAAGCTTGCAATTGTTCACATCTTTGCTGTATCTTGCTGCTCTGGTGGCAACCTTCTTCGCATCATACACTACCAAAAGGCTAGGTCGAAAGAAAACCATGTTAATTGCTGGGGTTTTCTTTATAGTTGGTACAGTCCTAAACGCTGCGTTTAATCACCTTTCCGTGGTCATCCTGGGGAGGGTCTTGCTTGGTTGTGGAGTTGGTTTCGGCAATCAGGTTTTCATTTTTAATTTCGGCAATCAGGATCTTGCTTTGTTTTGAGAGTTTGAGAATGTTGTATTTGCTGTTATCAATTTCTAGCAAGACATTATTGTTTTCTTTTTCAAAGAGCTAGGCAGGGCAAAGGATAGTGAAGCACAGTACAACTCTAACACAATTTCATGTAATAGTGATGACATGTAGAATTTAGAGGAAATGGTAATCTGTTGATCTTTTTAGTGCTAATGTTATGAATGGAGAAAAAATTGCAGATGCCCATATAGGGAAAATTATTGCGTCTCAAAAGCAACACGATATGTGGTAATGTGACTGATAACACCATGTGACATTATAATAGGCACATTGGAGGTATGCCTATCGGAGACATAATATGACACAGCTCTGTTTTTCTTCCTACCATTTGAATAGGAGCTTTCAGCCTCCATTTTCTCGAGGCATATGCATTATCCCTTGCCCCCTAACATGCTCATCAAGCATTATTTTCATGTTTTGTAGGTTGTCCCACTTTTCCTTTCGGAGATAGCCCCAACAAGAATACGTGGAGGACTCAACATACTTTTCCAGCTTAATGCAACCATTGGAATTCTTTTGGCAACCCTTGTCAATTATGGTGCTGCTAAGTATGTCCCTTTATCCTTGGTTGAATTAGCAATATACATGAAAAATACCAAGAAAATGAAACTAGTTTCTTAATCAATTAGGTATATGAAGATAAACTGTCTATGATTAACCTCTAATAACCATGTGTTCTGTCGAAACAGAATTAAAGGGGGATGGGGTTGGAGGCTATCACTGGGTCTGGCAGGTGTTCCTGCACTTATGCTAACCTTGGGGTCCCTCATTGTGGTAGACACTCCTAACAGTTTGATACAACGCGGTAAGTTGGATGAAGGAAGATCAGTGCTTAAAAAGATCAGGGGAACAGAAAATATTGAAACAGAGTTTGTGGAGATAGTGGAGGCAAGTCGTGTAGCAGAAGAGATAAAGCACCCCTTTAGGAATCTCCTTGAGCGTAAAAATCGCCCCCCACTGGTCATTGCAATAGCAATGCAGGTCAGTATATACATTGGTTAATCAGTAACTTGAAAAATTATGTCACATTTTGTTAACTTTGTTTGATTGTCAATGTTTGCTTTGCAGATCTTCCAGCAATTCACAGGCATCAATGCAATTTTTTTCTATGCTCCCATTTTGTTTGCAAGCATGGGTTTTGGCAGCAATGCCTCACTTTATGCCGCAGTTATAACAGGAGCTGTCAATGTGCTTGCCACAATTGTATCTCTCTTCTTGGTTGACAAAGTTGGGCGTCGAATGCTCTTATTGGAAGCTGGCATCCAAATGTTGCTTTCTCAAATAGTCGTTGCAATAGTGCTAGCCGTGAAGGTAAAGGATCATTCTAATAATTTATCCTTTGGTTTGGCAATTCTTGTGGTGGTCATGGTGTGCATTTTCGTCTCTGCCTTCGCGTGGTCCTGGGGACCCATCGGATGGTTGATACCTAGTGAGACATTTCCACTGGAGGCTCGGTCAGCAGGGCAAAGTGTGACAGTTTGTGTCAACATGCTCTTCTGTTTTGTTATAGGACAAGTCTTCCTCTTAATGCTTTGCAGCTTGAAGTATGCCATCTTCTTGTTCTTCGCTGCTTGGGTCTTGATCATGTCACTCTTTGTGCTACTTCTAATTCCCGAGACCAAAAATGTTCCTATTGAAGAAATGACTGAGAGAGTGTGGAAGAAACATTGGTTTTGGAAGAGATTTATGGATGACCACTAACTAATAGTCCCATTCTCGTTTGTGTTATGTTTTAATTCCCATTATCGTTTGTGTTTTGTTTTAAGTTTGTAAGCCTAGGTTCTTATGATGGGGCCCTGGTTTTCGTTGAGTATGTCAAGTGGATAACGTTCCAATATTTAAATGGATATTTCAGATGAAAATTTCATTTCAGTCAAGCATTTTAAAAGAATTCGATTGGAAAGATATTGCATATCAAGATATAGGTAGGTTTTGTCCTTCAACCTTTCCTATGCTAGTGAAATACTATCGGATTTACTTGGCTAATCATTGAACCTTGAACACACCTCAAATTGTTCAACTGTTTTTGTAAATCCAAACAATAGTAATATCTGGTCCTAATTGTACACTTTCGAATTCATGTTGTTTAGAGAATTTAGCCTTGAAAAATTCTCATACTAAAGGTCCCATTTCACTCGTATAGGTGACTTCCTAATAAAATATCTTGCTATATCATACTTGGATTTCCAAGCTATATTGAAATCTTTAAAAACAAATCTTATCTTAAAACACGCTACGTACAGGCAACACTATTTCATCATAGTCCTACTATTTGGTTATCCATAATTTAGATGTCCCTTTTGAACCTAGATTTTAGAATCTCTAGTCAGCTAGATTGGGTTTCCACTATGACAACTTTAAATGTCCATGTTTATAACCCATTTCCCTCAATTAACTCTCTAGACAAACCTTTGAAAATTAGGTCTATTAGGTTGACTATTTATAATGTATGCAAACACATTTCAGCTTTGTTGGCGAGATTATTTTTTAACTAGCTTTATATTCACTTGAGAGTAATTGTTTACAACGTCAAGTCTCTAATTTATATTGTCAAAACTTAATTGTGCACGCTAAGTAACCTTCTAATACTTAAGTCATACACACTCACAAACGTCATATTAGGCAGGTACCCCCTTTCGGTACCAAAATTTAATTGCGGTTGTGGGCGACCCCCAGAATTATCTCATAATGTGGGTGCCAATAATTCACCCTATCATCTGCCTTGAGAAGTAGGGCACTTTTACTTTCCCTGACAGAATGAAATAACTCCACCTGTTAGTTTATATTTATTATTTAAATCATTTTAATGTTGCACTAGTAATAGAACTATGTTATAATTAACGTACTCTAATTTACTATACCCTCATTAAATGATTAAAATACATACGTAAACGTGTAATTCATCCAAAATGAATTTCAAGCTAGACCAATTTGACTAATGACAACATCACTTTCGGTTGTCGCAACTCATAAATTCAACTTTGATTGAAAATGCTTATCATCTTAGACTTGTTTTAACTCAGTGACAATGAGTTAAAAACATATTCAAATATCAACGTTACATTTTGTGCTTTCAAATTAATTTCTTACTATAAAGAAACTATTGCTAACTTGATCCTCTCATAAAAATACGACATAATTCAGAAGAAAAAAACTTATTTAAGGCAAATGATTCATCAGTGTAATGGTTTAGAGTAAGTGCTCTTTCAGGTAAAGTTCTGAGTTCGAGTTCTAGTATCTGTGTAGTGTGTATGAATTTAGTATATTATCGTCATTCTTAATAAAAAAAAGTCCTCAAAAAATAAATTAAAAAATTGAAAATATCTTTTATATTTTCTCTAGCTATGACAGTACAAATGATAACGGCAACTACCCAATTAAATACACAACCATTTGGAACACGGCATTGACTCCAAGAGGAAGGCAAAGATCAATTCGCTTCGTTCTTTCTCATGAAACGTATTTTGATATGGCAGACTTATGCAAGCATACAGACAGAGGCAGTAAAACAAAGACACAAACATTCTCATAAAAAACAAAAAACAAAAAAAACAAAGACAATAAACATTGCATCTACTAAGCCACCATCTCACAATAGGAGAACTGTGTCTCAACTTATTCAAAACAGACCCAACCACGTCCATTGGATCCAGACCAAAACAGGCTCTAGGCCAATTTATGCACGCCACATCGAGCATGCAATTTTTTTTGTTTCTTTTTTAAACACAACAATTTATCCAATAGAAAGAAAGAGGACAAGGCAAATAAAGTGAAATGTCAAGCATTTTCACGTATTTCAGATACCCTTTGGCATCAGTTATATTTTCATCAATCAGCAGCCACGTGCAATATGATATGATGATTTTTGTATACACGCACATCTTGCTGTTTTAAATTCACTCTACATATGATGCAATCGGATTATAAGCATAAATGATAATACTTTTTTTTTTCTTTTCTGAATTTAAATGACATGTACCACCACCCACCACCACCATCTCCACTTCCACCTCACCTCCACCACCTAAACCACCACAACCACCACTAATACCCCCCTTCCCACCACCACATAGCCAGCACATAACACTTTCAACATCATGTCCATTTTAGTCATTATTCACAGTTACAATAGTTTTATATTAAAATTTACTGAACGGTTTTGACATTACTTTTCATACGAACTTTAAAAATATATTGTTTACCAAACATGAAATGCTTCACTTTACATCATATTATTTTTAAGGGCTGGAGGCCCCTACAATTTCTATTTCCTAGACATCAACCAACCCATTAATTTTGAAAACAATGTATAAAACCCAAATTCAAACTAAAATGCCTCATAAGATTTAAAAGGTCATAATACTCCTACATATTTACATTGTTTCCCACCAAACTTCAAATAAGTCAATATGACAGTTTTCAAGCATGTCATTAATGGCCAGTTTGGCATTGCTGTGCTGTGAAAATAATCGCTGTCAGATTTGCTATGAGAGAAATCAGCTGTGAGAGAAAACAGTTTAGCGTTTGGTAAAATTTTTGTTAAAAGTGTTGTTGGTATAGATTTTACACATAATCAGAAAATGATTGCCGCATAATCATTAAACCCAGCGCCTCTTCGAAACTGATTCCTGCATAATCAGAAAATGAAAACACCGCATTAGCTGTTTTCCCTTATAGCTTTCTCTCACAGCAATTTTTAACAATAAGTGATTTTCTCACAGTTTACCAAACTGGTTGGGCTTCCCAAATTTTTTTAAAAATCACTTATCACCCCAAATAAGTAATGCCAAACTTGCACTAAGTCCCTCATTTCTAATTAATACTTCATCATTTGAAGCATATCAATGACTTTTTTCTTTTGGGCATTCCTTGTAATCCTTAAATTTTCTAACAATAAAAAATATCCATTTTATAATAATTTGTTTACATAAAAAATCCATCAAATTTCATCCCAATAAAATGTAATAGGTAAATTATTGTCAATACAATATAATGTACCTACAAATTTACCTATCTTGTATATATCTAATACGGGTAGGTAAATTATTTTCACAATATATATATATATATCCAATAGAATATAATAGGTAAATTATTTTCACAATATAATGGCTTTAGTATACCTATAATATACCCTTAATAGGTAAATTACAAGTTATATGCATAATAGGATATTATTAGGTAAATTATATCCAAAATGCATTTATAAAAGTTGGGTATATTATTTGAATAATAAGTAAATTCATACTAGGTACATTATTTTTCATAATAGGAAGTAATGGGTACATTTCTTTTTCAAAATAAAATTGTATGTGCACTATTTAATAGATAATTAATCTCGTATACTTCATAAATAAATAATTTTTTTAATTAAATAACCCGATTGGATAGTTAAATCTAAATATATTGTTTAATTTAAAAAAAGTTTCCAAATTAATAACTACATCCATTTGGAGATCTTTCCAAATTCAAAGTGTTAGTTACTATCCAATTAAAAATTGTTTCTATATTGGTTTGTTCGCTAAATTTACTAAATTTTTCAAATCACAACAAAAGCATTTTTTTAAAAAAGTGACAGTAATCACAAACTGGCCCTTACACAATAATAAAACCAGTTTCGTAGATATACTGAAACAAAACTCATAAAGTCACGAAATTGACATGTCTTCTGGAATAACATACTCAAGAACTCTATTGGAACATGTCTGTCTAATATAGCAAATAAACAATTACAAAGGAAAAAATTTCGTCTTAAGATTGTTGGAAAAATAGGTATTTAATTGCTATAATTCTAGAAATAAATAAATAAATAATTTCAAGCAAATAAGGCCAAAATTAATGCATAAAATTAATCAAACAAAAGAATAGAGAGAAGTTTAGGAAAACTCGAATATGGTTTCTAGAACTTGATTTTATGACCTTAAGAAGAAATAGCTCCTTTTTGGTGCTTCAAGGTTCCAATGGCAAATGTCTACTAGGAAACAACGACCTCCTTCTTGTGGTATGTAGTAGCACTCCAAACCGCAAGAACAACTAATACATACTTGTGTTTTAATTATTGCATATAATTTTCATGAGACAATCTAGTATATTTTGTAAATCATAACACCATTTTTCTATAAATAAAAAAAATAAAAAACTGAATGAATTGCAGTATTATATAGATGCTCTGTGTCCTTACAATAGAGATGTACTTCTGTTTATGGAAGCCCACAAGTCATATACTTTAAAGGCTTATTTACTGTTTCCCCCCATGAAACGAACATTTGGTCTCAGTTTATCTCGTTAAATTAAAATTTTCTCACTTAGCCCCTTGAATCTCTAAAAATTGCTGAAATTTTCTCACTTTACCACTTTCATCCATTTCCTTCCACAAAACCGTTAAGTGTGTTGACGTGGCATGGGCATTCTATTAATTTTAGCTCCTTATCTACTCTCTTCTCTCTCCCTCTGCCTCTCTCTTCCCTCCCCTCCTAGACCCAACCTCCATCACACCCCACCCCCACCCCCACCCCCTGAAACAGATAATAAGCCTACTTTAAAACAAACAAAGCATCTCTTAATGTATAGGCGAACTCGCATGAAAATAAGACTGCAACTTTAAAATTATTATTTCTTTCACAATTTATCATCCATTAGGAAAAATAAAATAAAATAAAAATTAATTTTTGGGAGGTGGCTTAGCAAATGTGATGGTGAGGGTGGCTTAGGTTTGGAAGGTGGTTTGGTTTGAGTGTGAAATTGGGGGAAGAGAAAGTCTTTTAAATTTCATTTTTAGATCGAATTTGAATATTTTATAATTAATACAATTTTTTCTATTAATTTTGTTAATATTAATTTTTTTAATTTTAATGAATTTAGAAGAATGAAAC